CCATTACGTGCTCATACCCTTGGGAAAGGTATGAATCCTTTTCTTCCTTCCCCAGCTATGGGTAAATAGCAGGACAGACCGGGTAACTGGTCTACCGCAGAAAGAAATGGCAACCTACTGCGGGAAAAATCTGCCTCGTCAGTCATGTATCGAAAGATACATGATCGCCTAAGCGTGTATCACGCATGGCACATAACTGAACTGATATTATAGTTATAATATAGTAATAAGAATTAATGCCGGATTAAAAGATTAATTCGTAAATTTCTCTGCGCGCTAAAATTTCGTTGAAAATATAAGATTTAAGTTTATTTTCCACAATTTGTGTGTGTGTGTGTGTGTTTATTACAATTAACATTTTCTGGCTTATTGGAAGCTGACACATCGTTCCATCTAAAATCTTCAGCACGAAATTCGCAAACTATTTTTGACACGTTCGATCTTATCACAGTACCTTATCTAAAATTGTTCATATCATTTACCGTGCATTATTCTAGAGTTTTTTTTTACATAATATAAGAAAGTATAATACGCCAAACGTGTTAAGATTTTCTTTCCAAAACATCGCAATGTTTTTTTTTGTTTTTTTTTTTTTTTTTTTTTTTTTTTTGTTTTTTTTTTTTTTTTTTTTTTTTTTTTTTTTTTTTTTGTTTTTTTGTTTTTTTTTTTTTTTGTTTTTGTTTTTTTGTTTTTGTTTTTTTTTGTTTTTGTTTTGTCTTTTTTTTTTTTTTTTTTTTAATGCGCTCACATATGACAGCTGTCGCAATACAAGAAAAAAACCTTAAGAAAATTAGTTGAAATTAAATACTTCAAATGTCCCTTAACGATAAATTGTTCATTTTGACTATCCTTTTATTTAATTTCTTTTTTTTATTTAATGCAGTTTTTTGTGTATTTTTGTAATTTTGTTTGTCTATTAAATTTTTCAGATTTCTGCGATTTCGAAGAGCCTGATATCTGTGGCTACGAGCAAGGTGATACAGATGTCTTTGACTGGACATGGGGAACTGGACGGACACCCACATATGGAACAGGACCTAAAAATGACCACACCTATGGCAGTAAATACGGTACGTTATTCCAAATTCTTGATGCAACAGAAATGTAATTCTACTGTCTGGTGCTGAGAATACCATAAACATGTGAGCAATGACGAAGTTTTAGAGAAAATGGAAACAAAAAGGACACGTATAATTAACATCAAAAAGAGTTGAATTTTTTAGGGAATTAATTGTGGAAAGATGGTTTGGAAAATTTAACACTCATTAGACATATTAAAGCCAAGAGGAACATCAGAAAACAGTGCATAACCTACTTAGCAAAATGGATGGTAGAACAATGTTTAAGAAGATAGCAAAAAGGTTAAATTTACTAAGAGTGACAAAAGACAGGAAATTGTGAAGAGCCATGATCGCCAGCGGCATTACAAATTTCATTAAATAAAAGATTTCAAAAGAATCTTAGATATTCTAGTGTTTAAAAGAAGAAAACAGTTGTCATATCCAAAATGCATTCTTTCAAACTCTTTTCAGATTTATCGATAGATCAACACAGATTTTACTTACACACACAGACATACTCCCATAATGATAGGACACGTGTTAAATGCAAGTATCTTGGATAATAAAAATGACGTAGATCTAATATATATATATATATATAATTCTCGAAATGTGTGCGCGCACGCGCGTGATCGGATGTTGTTTATGCATTTCCACAGTTTTCATCCGATTCTAATGATTTTTTTTTTCGTTTGATAGATAATTCTTCAGTGGCGGTTTTGAGTCCAAATTGTTGGCGACAATGGCTCTCCACTACTTCCTGTCCATTATAACTCACAACAACGTTTTACTATTTACTATCTGTTCTTGGATATATATCTTTCATAAAAACTTTAATAAAAATAAATAATTTAAATTATTATAATAATATTATCTATGTCTATAATTCTCAAAATGTGTGTATGTGTGTGATCGGATGTTGTTTATGTTTTTCTACAGTTTTCATCCGATTTCGATGAATTTTTTTTATTTGATAGATAATTCTTCAGTACTAGTTTAGTGTCCAAATTACACATTTCCCTTCTCTTGGCTAAATATTCAATCTCTCTTAAGTGAGGTAACCTTTTCCGTTGCAGAAAGCCTACAACTACAGTTGTAAGGCGTTGTTTTCATTGTCGTTTATAACCGTTCCCAATGTAATTTTTTTTATTGTCCTGTCAGTTTTTACATTGCATTCACCATCGTAATAAATAAGCCTGCTTTTTTTTATTAGTCAACACTTATTTTTTCCAACTTTTCCTAAAGTTATTCCAGCTTAGTGATCTCTGTAGCTATCAAACCTACTTGAATATATATATATATATATATATATATATATATATATATATATAGAAATGTTAGAAATGTAGAAGAAACGTAAATTAAGTTTTTCTTTGCTAAAAAATTAAAATGCTCGCAAAGTTTTTGAAGTATCATTTTTCTTCTTGTTTTCCAGGACATTACATGTACATCGAAACCTCCGATAAATCAATGTCTGACCACGCCCACCTGTACAGCCCAGTCTACCCGGCGACTACCAAAGAACGTTGCTTGACATTCTGGTACAACATGAACGGGAGACACGTCGAAAGATTGAACGTATATTTGTACCAGAATAATCAATTTGGTGATAAGATTTGGTCACTTCAGTTGAACCAGGGTCCCCATTGGCATTTGGCAACGGTTTCAGTCAACTCGGAAATACCCTTCCAGGTAAGGAAACTAAAATATAAACTCCAAAATTATGTTTCAACAAACTGTATCTGACTGATATACCATAAATGCCCGATTTAACGTCTGGTGCGCTTACTTAGAAAGAAAAAATTAAAGAAAGCATATTTTGATTAAACGAACTTAGGTTTAAAGTCCCAGAATTAAGCGTCCTTTTTCGTCTCTCAAATATATTCTGTTAGTCGCCCTGTATTAGGGAGAGACGCTTATTTTAAATTCCTTGAGGAAATGAGTGCTTATTCAAGAGGGGGTGCCAAATGGAACACTGGCGTTTCATACAGAAGTGCTGATTTAACTTAATCTATATCTATAAAAAGCTGTGTGTGTGTGTGTGTGTGTGTGTGTGTGTGTGTAACGAATGCACGGCCGTAATTTTCGACGGATTTGCAACAAAATTTGCATGCGCATCCTCCAAGTTAGCGGAAAAGCAAAGACCAACTTTATATTTCCCAACTCCCATCGATAGTGGAAATAATCAATATTTCATGCTTCTAAGGCAGTTTTCATGTAGTTTGCGGCCATTTTCTGCTGACCAGAGTGAGAACCTATAGCTGGCTGCCACGAATAGACAGGAAGATTCTATTGGCCAGCGTGAGATCTAACAGCTGACTGACACAAATGTTAACTAGCATGCTAGCATGCAAAACAAAAAAAAAAATCGATTGCTGCATTTGCCACAAGTGGGGAAAAATTTAAATCTGCATGGCACTTTACTCCAATTGGCTCATTCTCTTGCTTAAACTGAACGTTGATTCTGATTCAGCAGAACTGGGTTGGGTGTGAAAAAGTATTTGTTGTTAACATTCATTTTTCATTCGGTTTTTCCAGTTACGAGTCCTTTTTTAAAGCTGATCGTTTTGTGTTCGTTTTGTTTAGTTTTTTTTTTTCGTAACAGATTTAATGTTTAGAATAGAGCTTAGAAAAAATTCGCAGTGTGAGATAGACAAGAAGTAAGGCATGTAGTAACATCAGCACGGCAAAGGGCACTCCTTTAAAGGCAAGGAAGGGCAAAAATATTTTAAGTCAAGTGGTAGCGATTGCTGTATGAGTCATATGATTTTTAAATCAAGCACCTGCAACGCCGGGCCATGCTGCTAGTCTTTTAATAATACTAGAATGTTTTGCCACACACTGACACATGTCAAAATCCTACAAGTATTTAGTGTTGTTGAAGTTGTCACTAACATGTTTTTTGTTGAGATTTACAAACAATACATTTCGTTCAGTTTCGCAAACCATCGATAAAAATTGAAAAAAAAATTCAAAATATAATTTTAAAAATAATACTTGACAAAAACCCTAACTCGCGGTTTGGTTTATATATATATATATATATATATATATATATATATATATTATTATTATTATTAACAGCGAAGAATAAATTGTTAGAATTTCTTACTCTTGAGCATGCAACATGCGTAAATATTTCTTTCTGTAGCCAAATTCCAACTTTTTGAAACGTTTGGCCTTATGATTTGTTTATAGTTCTCGCAAACGCAGGGCGAACTGGATACACACACATATATATATATATATATATATATATACATATATATATATATAACTTAAAGAAAAGATATACAAAAACAATATTGCATTTTTATTAAATAAGTATCTGTTATTTTAATCATTAAATTGTTTTTTTTTAAATAGTTGGAGTATTTTCTATGTTAAATAAAACTTAATTCTTTCACCCTAGTAAAACCAACTGTACCTTGTACCCCCTTACCTGTTTGCATTTACCCCGTAAATTTGTTTTCGATCTGTCAAAATATGGCAATTTTAGAGGGTGTGCCGAACGGAAGCAACAGAATTTTATATATAGATAGATAGATGACAAAATACCAAATAAGAAGATTGGGTTCTCTAGCCTTCCGTAACAATCTACGCTACTATTTAACCCATAATAGGGAGCAGTAAAAAGGGGTTCATATCTTTATGATCATTATTACGAAAGTAAACGCAGCAGACGAGCCCGGAATTTGAACTCGGCTTACCAATTCCATTTTATAATATATATGTATATATATATATATATATATATATATATATATATATATATATATATATATATATATATATATATGCGCGTATATATATATATAATGTGCGTGTATGGCCTTATGGGATTAAAAAATTTAAAATAATAATAAATAAAAATGTATGTCTGCTTGCTTATCAGCGTTATTTTTTACCTTGCAGATTGTTTTTGAGGGCGTTCGCGGAATGGGAGTAAGCGGGGACATTGCTATTGACGATGTCAAGTTATCCAGAGAGGCTTGTGATCCCATCGCATTCTGCACATTCGAGGAAGGTATTTGCGGCTGGGAGAACCTTCATGACATCCGTAAAGCCGACTTCGACTGGCAAAGAACGAAAGCGTCAACTTCACTCAAAGTTAAGGGTCCATCAGTTGATCACACGATCGGAGACCAGTCAGGTGAGTTTACGTCGTCTTTTCAATTGGTAATTGACCTTATTACACTGAAGGCATTGGTGACTGCCCTGAAAAGTTAAAGCATTAATCATGTGAGTGTTTAAGTGATTTTCTTAGTCGTATGAAATAATAAAGAAACCTTTTACGTATGAAAGTGTTACATCGACAAATAAAATAATCAAAGTTCTCCTTCGACTCTTCATAACATCAGCGATGATGGGTAGGTTATTTGAACTCGGGGTTTTTTGTTTGTTTGTTTTGTTTATTTTTAATCAGATTACTTTATGCAAAGCAATAGCTTACCGAGTTTGAAAAAATAAAAATAGAAACATTATTAAGTAGCAAGAACATTAGAAGCGTAATCAAGAGGAATGTAGATAACGATTAATATTGCATTTAAATTATTGAAGATCAAAATTCACTGGAAAGCATGGAGCCGTAGTAAGCATAAAACTTATGGTTACGTCTAGCCAATCCAACTATGAATTAATGAGACCTCAACGCCAATTTAATAGAAGAAAAATTTTTGGATAGATGTCATGGCGTTCTGTATTAGACGGCCAAGTCATCATGTAAAGCAATTTAAATGTTTTAAAAACTGAAATTTACATTGTACGAATACTTTTTTTTTTAACTTATTAAAATATATAAATAGAATTTATTTCTATTAAATCATTTTTCTGTTTTCTATGCATATTTAGTTATTGTGCATCTGTTTACAGTTAATTATATGAAAAATGTTTATTCATTAGTTGGAAAAACAATAAATTAAAAATTTGTATGTGTACGAATATTTGTTCCCCGCCCCCACTGTAAACTTAATTATATAATTATAATTACATTCTAAATTTTTAATTCCGTATTTTTTTTTTTTTTTTTGCTATTGTAAAACGTGAGTGTGAACGAAATTAATCTTGCTGGTCAGTCATTTTTCAAAATTTTTTAAGAAATATGGTAAAAAAAAAGTTAGCTTATTCACTAACTCAACATTTTTCTGCTAAAAGTTTAAATTTATTATTCAATATTTTTCTGTTAAAAATTTATTCAATGTACCTGGGGGGGGGGAAGCAAGCAGTTACGCTTCAAAAACGAATTCTCTTTTTTACGCTCTTTATATTGGTTTCTAAAAGTTAAAAGTATATCTTTTTTTTTTTTAACCACATTTCATTTTTATTATTGAGTGACCTGTAATAATTTATTCATTAAAATTAAAGAAAAAAATGACATTAATAAATACTATTACATAAAGTTAACATCTAGTTAATTTTAACAGACGTATGTGTTTTCGAAGAGGTTTTTTCTACGCTTGTTTTTGTCTAATTTTTTCTAAATTTTATACTTCGAAATTTATTCTTAAAAAATTACCATTATTTTTTCGCAAAGTTACTTTAAAGTTTTTTCTCGAATATTTTTTATGTTTTTAAGTAAAATAAATAACAAAATATTAATGTTTAGCTTAATTTTTTAAATTTTCTATCAAAGTGTAAAATAGGCCCAAATGTATATTCTTATTGCAAAATTAATGAAAAAGACATTTAAGAATGTTTTTACGTAAATTCAAATGTCATGATAAATTTAATATATTTAATTCGATATTCTAAAAACGCAGTGAACGAAATATTAATCATGCTGATGCTCAGGCATTTTTTTTTCAGGTTTCACTTTAAAGTATTCATTTATTTACTCAAGTTACACATGAAACTAATTTTTGACACAAGAAGGCCGAGATTAAAGTGCACTGCGGTGGATTGCCCCACCACAAAGCCTCTCAAGCACCGGGCAAAATCCCCTGTCCTCCTCTTCAAATCGAAGCGGAGGTGTTAGCTAGGGGAGCAGCACTCTCTCGGAGAGAACCAGGCAATAGCTGATCTTAGATTGACAATTGACAAAAATTTAGATACTTGATAATTGATTAAAATATTATGTAATATTTTGCAAACCTTTGTTAACAATTATACTCTAAAGCCAATAAAAAATCAATTTAAAAAGTGGATTCTCAAGTCTAAGGCAGCCTTCTAAAATTTCTGTTTTTAACTTAGTGGTATGGGGGGGTGTCAAAGTTGGGATTAAGAGTATAATTTAGCTTGAAAAGTTACCCCTAAATTGAAGCAGTAAAAGAAATAATTGTGCTTAAAAAGGTTAATCATTTCAGATATTACCCAGTTTCCAGCAATGCCTTAGAAGTGTTGTGTCATTGCATACAAAACAAATTACAGAAGCCAGCAAGACAAAACTGTGTTGCAAGATGAATAAAATATCGGTTTATTGTTTTCCAAAGGACAAAGATGAGAGAGAGCAATGGAGAAAATCAGTTCCAAATGGCAATCTGAATGTTAAAATTAATACACTTATTTGTCAACTACATTGTCCTACAAATTTTGATACCATAGAAGTCTATAGCAAAATGTTCCCCCAAAATCCACTATCTGTATGACCAGGTGTGCCAAAGAGTCAAATACCAACACCCTCTGCTGTTCAAAGGGATATAAAAAATAAAAAAAACCCTCTAGTACTGCTCGAAATGAAATTGATGAAATGAATGCTTTTTTTTTTAGAATTTTAGATAATATTAATTATACAAATTTGAAAGAAAGTTTAATCAACAACAAAAATGACTTTGCTTATCCAGTTGTAGCATTTTGGGTTGAAAATATTTTAACTGTTCAATCGTCAAAAAGTTTCTTTCTCTTTATGTTGAGAATTTATTTTTAAAAAAATGCAGTTTGAAACCTTTCATTATGGAGTTAAGTGTTGATACTTGGTCAACATTGGAATCAATTATCCGATATTTAAATTCTATGGCTTTTGATCACAAGAAGGATATCTTGAGTCAGCACTTTTCAGCAATGGCCCCCAAAATGGTTGGAATGAAATACAGCTCAGATATAGTAATATGTGCTTTTGAGTACTATATAACATCACGGTCATTATATAATAGATTAAGTCAGGATTTTCAATTGCCTTCATTAGAAACATTAAGAAGGATAACATCAAGTTTCAAAACTTAATGAAAAATCTTTTTTGCTAGTTTTATTTAATACTCTTAATGCCAATCAAAAAGGTTGCATAATTCTCCATGATGAAGTATATACCAAGAAAATGTTACTATATCATGGCAAACAACTATTTGGTAAGTCAGTTGACAATCCATCTCTACTTGCTCAAATAGTACTTAGCATAATGTTGATATGTCTTAAAGGGGGTCCAAAATTTCTTACAAGATTGATTCCAATTTCAAAATTAACATCAGCCTTTTTTATTTGAACAAACTGAGTTAACAGTTCCGGCCATCACTCTATAGATATGTGATGGCAACCAAGTAAATCAAGCTTCTTTTTTCTTTTTTTAATCATATCCCACACTCTAAAAATTTAAATTTGTTAAATTTTTATAATGATTTCCAATGTAACTTTCTCAGTATAGCTTTCGAATTATTATCTTTCATAGAGTTGTTTTTTCCCCAAACATACACACGGCTTCGGAAACATCTCTGAATAGTTCGCCATTTCAAGGGAAGTAACTCTTATACAATAAAATATGGAAATTAAACAAAAATATACAAATACGATTGGCATTCTATATAATATAAATCTCGTCTTTTTTTTTTTTTTTTTTTTTTTTTTGAACAGGTTATTATATGTTTGTTAATGCGATTCATTGAAGAAGGGCGACACTGCGCGGCTGAAATCGCAAAACAGTTCCTCTGTTACAATATAACCCCAAAACCTACTGCTTCCATTTTTGGTACATCGTCTACGGAACTGATATAGGTCAACTGAAAGTGAACATTATTTTCCACGGAGAGGACCCAGAGACAATCTGGACTCAAAAAGGATTAACAGACTCAAAATGGCGCCACGGCATGGTGTTTATTGACAACGTATATTCCCATTTTGAGGTAAATATATTATGTGTGATAAAAGTTTGACAATCAGTGTAATAGCCCTTTTTATTTGGGCAGGTAAGCCTGTCAATTAAGCGGGATTTGTCTAAGTCAAAGGTCTTCAACTATTAGGTTGGTGCAAAAATAATGATGTAATAATGTCGTTTTTTACGTTAAAAAATACGTCAAAAAATGACATTATTACGTCATTATTTTTGCAACAACCTAATACTTTTTTTTACCTATGTATCACGTTACTCTTAATTTTTTTTGTGGACGCCAATAACTATCGTTGAAAAAGAAGGCTGTTCATATTTTTTTGTAATAGATTTATGAAGTTTGTTATAGAAATAGTAAATGTATATGCTTTATTTTGCAGTAAAAGTAATTTACTAAAAATAAACTTACACTTAACAACTAAATTCTATAGAACTATTATGCACACAAGTAAAATAACTCACAATAAACCATTCTAAAACATTTTACAATCAAAGCCGCCGAAAAATCATAATTCACTGTTTCCAAGGATACAGAAAGATCCAATCATTCAGACAAGGGGTTGTAGCGTGTTCATTTTTATTAACTTTTGTTGTATCATAAAAATAAAAATGAACATGCTACCACCCCTTGTCTGAATGATTGGATCTTTCTGTATCCTTGGAAACAGTGAATTATGATTTTTCGGCTTTAAAACTCAGTAAATTTTAAACAATAAGTTACACCAAACTTCGCTTGAGGATGAAATGGAACTAATGTTTTTAATTTAATTACAAAATTAAATTTGAAACTTTTAGCTACCATTTTTGAAACATGGCTATTACTGTGTAGCGAAAAAACCATATTTTAAATCAGTTAATTTATAATATATATATATCACGGGGAAAACATATTTTTAAATCATTTCAGTTAAAAAAAACGTGGATAACGAAAAAGTGTGCCTATTTTCTTTTTCCCCACTTCTTTTTTATCCAGGTTTTTTTAATGAATTTTTTTTTCAATCGTCCGAAGATCACGTTAGCATGAAACTCTAGTTATGACTAGAGTCATCCTTTGATAGGATTTAGCATTTTTACGCACTTAGATTACTGAGTAGGCAAGTTGTTCGTTTATTCCATCAACGGTTTTTTCTTTAATATATATATATATATATATATATGCGATGAGAATGAAAATAATATATAAATTCCAATGTTCACAGCATTAATCCAAAAGAGTGCTCGGTACCGATAGTAGAGCGATAATTATTTATTTATTATAATTTTATCATATAGACAAAACCATTTTACTCACTACAAAGATGCAATTTGGTTTCAGTGCATTTCAACTGCACTTCGACGGGTGAGGATTTTCGATTCTTACCCGTCGAAGTGCAGTTGAAATGCACTGAAACCAAGTTGCATCTTTTGTAGTGAGTAAAAATGGTTTTCTCTATATGATAAATATATATATATATATATATATATATATATATATATATATATATATATATATATATATATTATATTACATTACATTTTATTGCCTATTTTTAAGTTTTCTATTCAAGTGATGGGGGTTATGTTCTTGGTTTCTTTGCAGTAACCATCATTCCAATATTATCGATTATCATCTTTGTCTATTTTACTGATGCTATGCAAAATATACCGCCATTTATTCTTGTCGCCAACTTTGAAGTAATGAAAATAAATGTCTGGTTTTATTGAATTTTAGATTGTTCTCGAAGCGGTTGTCGGAACTGGAAACCAAGGTTATTTAGCAGTGGATGACCTTCAACTTAAGCCTGGAATCTGCCCGAACAGTAAGTAAATGTTAAACAGGGTTGCTGGCTGTCCAATCGTTTCATTTTATGCATCTTGGAACTAGATGGCAGTAGAACACGCGAAAAATGTTTTTTGCCCTGGATTAGGTGGCGACATATTCTACTTATATTCTCCCCTTTTATCAGCAATTATCAACTTAATTAAACTTAAATTTGTATTATGTTCGTTCTACATATTTTTCACAGCGTAATGTTATTTGGATTTTCTGTCGGTCAATAGTCCTTCAGCTCATCTTTGCAGGATCCTCAGTTTCTTCTTGATGGTGCGTTAACATCACCTGTCTATAACCATCGGGACAAAGAAGTTGGGTCGTGTAACTTTTTCGGTTCCTGTTTCATTAATTAGTGATTGACCAGGCAACCTCCTGTTTGAGAAAGTGAAGTGATTATTCACTTCCATTTTATAACCACCATTCCGTATTTTGTCTACTTCCCACAGATCGGCGAACTGACGTCCTTCCTCTTCTTGCTCTTTTCTTCTTCTTTTCTTCTTCTTCTTCTTGCTCTTTTCTTCTTCTTCTTCTTGCTCTTTTCTTCTTCTTCTTCTTGCTCTTTTCTTCTTCTTCTTCTTGCTCTTTTCTTCTTCTTCTTCTTGCTCTTTTCTTCTTCTTGCTCTTTTCTTCTTCTTGCTCTTTTCTTCTTCTTGCTCTTTTCTTCTTCTTGCTCTTTTCTTCTTCTTGCTCTTTTCTTCTTCTTGCTCTTTTCTTCTTCTTGCTCTTTTCTTCTTCTTGCTCTTTTCCTCTTCTTGCTCTTTTCCTCTTCTTCTTCTTGCTCTTTTCTTCTTCTTCCTCTTGCTCTTTTCTTCTTCTTCTTGCTCTTTTCTTCTTCTTGCTCTTTTCTTCTTCTTGCTCTTTTCTTCTTCTTCTTCTTCTTGCTCTTTTCTTCTTCTTCTTCTTCTTCTTTTCTTCTTCTTCTTCTTCTTTTCTTCTTCTTCTTGCTCTTTTCTTCTTCTTCTTGCTCTTTTCTTCTTCTTCTTGCTCTTTTCTTCTTCTTCTTGCTCTTTTCTTCTTCTTCTTGCTCTTTTCTTCTTCTTCTTGCTCTTTTCTTCTTCTTCTTCTTCTTGCTCTTTTCTTCTTCTTCTTCTTGCTCTTTTCTTCTTCTTCTTCTTGCTCTTTTCTTCTTCTTCTTCTTGCTCTTTTCTTCTTCTTCTTCTTCTTCTTGCTCTTTTCTTCTTCTTCTTCTTCTTCTTGCTCTTTTCTTCTTCTTCTTCTTACTCTTTTCTTCTTCTTCTTCTTCTTACTCTTTTCTTCTTCTTCTTCTTCTTCCTTCTTTTCTTCTTCTTCTTACTCTTTTCTTCTTCTTCTTGCTCTTTTCTTCTTCTTCTTCTTCTTGCTCTTTTCTTCTTCTTCTTCTTCTTGCTCTTTTCTTCTTCTTCTTCTTCTTCTTACTCTTTTCTTCTTCTTCTTCTTCTTCTTACTCTTTTCTTCTTCTTCTTCTTCTTACTCTTTTCTTCTTCTTCTTCTTCTTACCTTTTTTCTTCTTCTTCTTCTTCTTGCTCTTTTCTTCTTCTTCTTCTTGCTCTTTTCTTCTTCTTCTTCTTCTTGCTCTTTTCTTCTTCTTCTTGCTCTTTTCTTCTTCTTCTTGCTCTTTTCTTCTTCTTCTTGCTCTTTTCTTCTTCTTCTTGCTCTTTTCTTCTTCTTCTTCTTCTTGCCCTTTTCTTCTTCTTCTTCTTCTTGCTCTTTTCTTCTTCTTGCTCTTTTCTTCTTCTTGCTCTTTTCTTCTTCTTGCTCTTTTCTTCTTCTTCTCCTTCTTGCTCTTTTCTTCTTCTTCTTCTTCTTGCTCTTTTCTTCTTCTTGCTCTTTTCTTCTTCTTGCTCTTTTCTTCTTCTTGCTCTTTTCTTCTTCTTCTTCTTCTTACTCTTTTCTTCTTCTTTTTCTTCTTCTTACTCTTTTCTTCTTCTTTTTTTTCTTCTTCTTACTCTTTTCTTTTTCTTCTTCTTCTTACTCTTTTCTTCTTCTTGTTCTTTTCTTCTTCTTACTCTTTTCTTCTTCTTCTTCTTCTTGCTCTTTTCTTCATCTTCTGGCTCTGATGGTGTTGAACAACACATAAATGTGCCTAAGCAGGTGTCTGCCACAGGGGTTGGCTTGTCACCCTAATAGACAGGCATCCTCGGATACGAGAGGCTAGGCCTTATCAAGCCTTTTAGAATATCGGAAACGAGATATCAGATTCGTATATTAATCGTTATCACGACCCTTTATAAATAAAGTACATGTACAAATCGAGGACAACTGAGGTCAGCTTTGTGAAAAAGTCAATACTCAGAATGTGTGACGTAACTAAGTGTACTAAAGTATTTGTATTCAAATTAAAAACTCGAGAGGACTAATTTTTGGATGCTATAGCTTGACCTAGAAACATCTATATCTGAGGACGCGATATAAGAGTTGGCCATATCACATTGAAACACCGGTTTCCTTTATGATCACCAAAGTTAAGCAGCCTCGATCCTGGCCAGTACCTAAATGGGTGACTGCTTGGGAATACCAGTTGCTGAAGTTTGGATGTGCGGGTGGCTTAATAGATAACGACTCTAAATTGTAGATTGGAAAGCCGAGTTCCAATTCCAATCGGGTTAATTGTATTAGGTTGGTGCAAAAATAATGACGTAATAATGTCGTTTTTTGACGTTAAAAAATACGTCAAAAAACGACATTATTACGTCATTATTTTTACACCAACCTAATATTTGCTTATGCGCAAATACCCTTGGGAAAGGTATGAATCCCCACTCAAAGCTATAAGTTAGTAGAACGTGTATCAGTAAACCATTATTATGTCCAAGAAATTCTTAAAACACGCGTAGAATCTAAGACATTTCGCCGGAAAACATGAAAAAGCATTTCAATGGTCTCTGTCGTAGATTTACTCTGACACACGAAAAAAATTGATGCATACCTATTTCCTTATTTTGCTATGTGCCATGTTCCTTCAGGACGTTGGTGATCGTGGCTCTCCACATTTTCCTGTCCTTTGTAGTTCGTAATGTTTTTTTCTTTTTATCTCTATTAAAAAATTTTCTCTAAAACTTTTGTCAAAAAAAATGTTGCCTGATCTTCAAACAACCCGCAAATGTTTGATAAATCGTAAAACATGACAACACAACCTATCGTCAATACTATAAGTTCTAACGATAGAATATGCTCACTTAGTATTTATCAATCCACCCACGAGGATAGAATGTGGCACAAGGCCGATTTAATGTGGGTATACCCGAGCCCGTAGGCTCGGCCAAAAATATAGCCTTTTTAACCCGCCTAGACGGATTCAGGCCCTGTCTACCTCCCCGAACGAAACCTTGCCCTTCGGCAAAGCTTCGTCCGGGTTCCTCTCTGCTAATGCAGAGAGTTCGACAGACGCCGACTCGGAAGCTCACAAAGGCAGCGTACTACACGTTGATCATTGCCCCCGGGCCGAGCAGCTTAATATGAATATGCTCACTTAAAGGGGAGATAATCGAAAGCCTTATCACTGCGCTTTGTCTCTTGACCAGATTTCTTGTTAATGGTATGTCACAGCAGTTAATTCAATACTGGGATATTCAGCTTGATAGGGTCATTAACCATCATCCTATTTGGCATCGACAAGTTTCCAGACAAGACTTAAAACACACACACACACACACACAATTACTGCAGAAAATAAGAGGGATTATACGGCGATGGTTCCACGTGGATAAGTTTATGAATTTTTTTTCCACATTTTCTGACATTTTACTAGAAACTGGTCTCAAGGCACCCTCATCATGAGAAAGCACTTCAATGGTTTCTGTATCAGATTTGTTAAGACAAAAATATTTGATGTATACCCGTTACTCGAACCTTAGTTTCTTTTATGTGTCACTTCAGGACGTTAGCGATCATAACTCTCCACATTTTCTTTTTCTGTCCTTTGTAGCTTTTAATAAATTTTGTCTTTATGTCATCTCTCTTGTTCTGCCATCCATTTACTCAAGCTCGCTAGGTAATTTATGCGTTGTTTTTCTCTGTCGTTCTAGACTTCAATCTGTCCTGTGAGTATCACATTTTCCAAGCCCGATTTCCTCATTATGCACCCTAGAAATTTCAACTGTCTTTTTCTGATGTTAAGTAAAAGTGTCATTTTTGTTTCCTTTTTCTCTAGTCCTGGATATAACGATGAAATAAATCCACGTTGTATATGTGACTACGTCCAACAGCAAGGCCTCTGATCAGGAGGTTTTGAGGAAAGGGGAAACATCTCTTAATTGCTGGTGTTCCCAGGTTCACCCTGATTAGGGGTGGTTGCACCTGTAAGGGTTCCAGTTATGGGTAAATAGTTAACCACCAAACTGGTGTCAAAGCACTATGAAAGTGTAAAATAGGTTTTAATACCAGAAATATTTTGTAAAAAATTACTACCAGCAATAAATTTTTGAAGAAAAATTATCAGCAATACATTTTTGAAAAAAAATTACCAGTTACACATTTAAAAAAAAAAAAATTACTTGCAATACATTTTTGAAAAAAAATATTACCAACAATAAAAATCTTGTCGGTATTAAATGACCCATTGAGGTTGATATACCGTAAAACAAACCAAACCAAATAGTGAGAAACGTCTTTAGAAATGATGAAACGAGCGCTTATGGTCGGCAAGACGAATTTGCGACGGTAAGCACCTAGGTAGCCTTATGTTTTGTTATGATGTTGATTTGGGGTTAGTAGAGACAAACGCCAAATAACACGTAACAATAAAAAGGGTTTTAATAGGTTGGTAAAAAGGTACAGAAATCGCCTGAGTAGTCAATAACTAGCTCAGCTAAGAACTTCTCTGTCTATCTTCCCATTATTTAAAGTCTCTGTTCACAGACGCAGACAAGTTCATCTTTAAGAGGGGTGGTAGGTTTCCGACACAACATGTTTGATGACGTTGCAGAACGTAGCGAAGAAAAGCGAAAAGAAAGGACTAAACATAAACTGTAAAAAGAAAGAATGCATGGTTGTGAGCAAAAGGGTAAGCCCAAAATGCAGATTACAAATTGGAAAGAGCAAAATCAAACGAGTTTAAAAATTCAAATATCTGGGAAGGCGCACTGGGATAGCCAAGGATGCATTTCAAAAACTGAGGAAGGTATTAACAAAAAAAAAAAAAAACTTCGTTAAAAACAAAAAGTGATGAATTGTTACGGGATATCTGTCGCATATGGTAGTGAAAGCTGGACAGTCTCCTCAAAGACGAAGAAGATACTTGAATCAACAGAAATGTGGTTCTACAGAAGGATGCTGAGGATAGCCTGTTCAGAATATGTGAGCAACGACGAAACTTTAGAGAAAATAAAAACAAATAGGAGACATAGGCTTAATATCAGGAATAGACAGTTGAAATTTTTTGGTGCATAATGAGGAAAGAAGGTTTGGAAAATCTGATACTCACAAAACAGATTGAAGGCAAGAGGAACAGAGGAAAACAATGCATAACATACTTAGTGAGGTTGAGTAAACTGAGTCTAGAAAAGGTTTAGAGGAAATAACAAAAATACAAAATTTATTAAGAGCTACGAAGGAAAAGAAATTGTGGAGAGCCATGATTGCTCTGAAGGGACACAGTACATAGACAAAAAGCACTCAAGCAAGAGTAGCGTCAATAAATGTCGGCTCTGTAATTTGCTATCATTTAACAATATTTCTTTTAATCCATACAGCGATCGAATCAAAGTTTACCTGTCGGTCTGGAGCAAAAATATCGTCAAGCAAAGTGTGCGACTTCATACATGACTGTCCGGATTCTGATGACGAAGCAAACTGCGGTAGGTAGACAGTTCTCCTTCTCTCTTTTGTCTTGTATCAATTTAATACGTTTTATTTGCTTTAATTTTCATTTTTCGTCCTACATATGACGATAAAATACATCCCGCAGTAAAAGGTCGCTGATGGGGAGATTAGCGGTTTTGAGGAGAGTAGAACCACACCTCTTAATTGTTGTCGTTCACAGGTTCATCCAGACCCCCGAGGTGGTAGAACCTGTTAAGGGTCCAAGCTAGAGTCAAATAGCGACCCTTACCAACAAAAATCAACAGTACATATTATAATAAAATGACCAACAATACATTTTTATAGCAAAATGACAATGCAACAGTAAAAAAAAAATATAAAAATACATTTTTATAGTAAAATTACCAACAATACATTTTATTATCTACAAACTATATAACTAAAAAAAAAAAAAAAAACAAATTTGCCCAGAAAGTATAAAATTATGTACAAAATATTTAGATTTCGGTATTAAATAAACCATAGAGGTTGATATACCGCTAAACTTTTTCATGACATAAGTCCATATATCCTACAATATTTTTAAATTATACAATATTTCAAAATAGTGATTATGTCCAAACAAACATGTATATACACAAAAGTGGGTGTAATCTGCCATGTAATCGATTTTAAAAGCAGAATAATCTATATCATATTTTTTATTACTTCAAAGCTCCCAAGGAAATTAAATTTGAGCATTAAATAATCCATAAGTTGATAAGCCGTTAAACAAACAAATCAATAAATTTTCATTTTGATTCGTTTTTATCCTTTTATTTTTTTTTTTTGTTCCTGTGTAAATATATATATATATTTCTTTTGCAGGCTCTTGCGTTTTTGAAGACAATATGTGCACATGGGAGGATAAAAGTACTGGCATTTTCAACTGGACAAGAATCCAAGGCAACTCAAATAAAGCAAACAAAATTAAAACCGACCACACAACTTCAACAGGAATTGGTTCGTTTCACTTTGACTCTGAGAATCATTTTATTCACAATGTACAAGTAAAAACATATAATTAAGTTTCCGTACGATCAAGCAAGTTAAGCAACGTCCCGATTCTCTCTCTCTCCACTCTCTCTCCCTCCACTCTCTCTCCCTCCACTCTATCTCTCCCTCCACTCTATCTCTCCCTCCACTCTATCTCTCTCCCTCCACTCTATCTCTCTCTCTCCCTATCTCTCTCTCTACCCTATCTCTCTCTCTACCCTATCTCTCCCTCCACTCTATCTCTCTCCCTCCACTCTATCTCTCTCCCTCCACTCTATCTCTCTCTCTCCACTCTATCTCTCTACTCCCGCGCCCTCTACTCCCTCTCTCTCTCTCTACTCCCGATTTACTCTCTATTTCTACTCCTGATTATCTCTCCCTCTCTCGTTCTCTCTCTCGCTCTCTCGTTCTCTCTCTCTCGTACCCCTCTCTCTCTCTCTCATTCTCTCTCGTTCTCTGTCGTTCTCTCTCTCATATTCTCTGTCGTTCTCTCTCTCATATTCTCTGTCGTTCTCTCTCTCCGTCGTTCTCTCTCTCTCTCTCTCTCTCTGTCGTTCTCTCTCTCCGTCGTTCTCTCTCTCTCTCTCTCCGTCGTTCTCTCTCTCTCTCTCTCCGTCGTTCTCTCTCTCTCTCTCTCTGTCGTTCTCTCTCTCTCGTCATTCTCTCTCTCTCTCTCTCTGTCGTTCTCTCTCTCTCTGTCGTTCTCTCTCTCTCTGTCGTTCTCTCTCTCTCTCTCTGTCGTTCTCTCTCTCTCTCTCTCTGTCGTTCTCTCTCTCTCTCTCTCTGTCGTTCTCTCTCTCTCTCTCTCTGTCGTTCTCTCTCTCTCTCTGTCGTTCTCTTTCTCCGTCGTTCTCTCTCTCTCTCCGTCGTTCTCTCTCTCCGTCGTTCTCTCTCTCTCTCCGTCATTCTCTCTCTCTCTCTGTCGTTCTCTCTCTCTCTCTGTCGTTCTCTCTCTCTCTGTCGTTCTCTCTCTCCGTCGTTCTCTCTCTCTCTCTCTCTCCGTCGTTCTCTCTCTCTCTCTCTCCGTCGTTCTCTCTCTCTCTCCGTCGTTCTCTCTCTCTCTCTCCGTCGTTCTCTCTCTCCGTCGTTCTCTCTCTCTCTCTCTCTCCGTCGTTCTCTCTCTCCGTCGTTCTCTCTCTCTCTATTCACCCCCCCCTTTGCTAAAGTATGCGGCTAAAAAATGTAAAATCAATTAGCTTCCAACGGGATTTGAACTCGTGTCCCACACTAGGACGTTAAAGGTGACGTCCATGAAAGACGATCGATCTTCGAGCCGAAGTAAAATATTATGAGTTGGTGAGACTGAACATTTTTTTTTTTTTTTTCTTTTTTTTTAAGCAGAAAACTGGGAAACTGACGCAGCACACTCTTGTTTTGTTTTTTTTTTTTTTTTGTTTTTTAATCATAATTTCTCCGTATTTGACACAGTAATTTTCTACATTTACTAGATATTTTTAAAAAATTTAATGGGGAGTTACTTTCAAACCCAGCCCTTAATGTAAATTCCCTTACCCGCTAATAAATCCTATAATTATTAAATAACTGCAATATATTTTAATTCCAGGATGGTTTGTTTACATGGGAAAAAGTGGGAGAAAATTTGGCACCACGGCCGTTCTTCAAAACAGAGCACTACAGCAAACAAGTTCAACTTGTCAACTGAAGTTTTGGTATTACTTAACAACATCTTGTAAGTAACGAAGATTCGTAATGTATAATTACCTACAAACGTTCATATTTATTACTAGTTGCATTTTTTTTTTCTTCCCAAGCAAGGCAATAAAGCCTCTAAGACGCAAGGGGTTACTAAATGTTAGAGAATCGGAAAAGGAGAGTTAACAATAAAAGAACAAGAATTAAAAAAGAAGATAACGAATGACATTGCATGTACATTTTTGAACCTCAAAGTTGTTTGGGGAGTCAGAAACCGAAAGAGAGTTCAACAATCGAGAAGTGCGATAGAAGAAAAAGTTGGCATAGAATTAAATTTGTCGCAAAAAAAAAATCACGTAATGAAATTGTCGAAAACAATCACAGTAATGAAAACTTGGAAATACAAAATTTCAGGATTACGGGTCCGGATCTGTCCCTGAATGCTTTTAATTTGCCCAGGGAATCGGCCTGATTCCAAAATGGTATATGTTAGCTACGGCCTCTAAGAGTAAAGATGAAAATACGGACAATTTTATTTTGAAACACTGTAATTTGAGAACAGTAATTTTTCATTTGAACATGAGCTATTGAAAGTTAGATAGCTGTGTCCCTTTAAGTTGAAAAAAATGTGACGCAATAACATTTGCATTTATTATATAGAAGACTAATGCTAGAAAAAAACATGCAATGTACACCACAAAGGCTATACCATATGGTGGTAAGGTTGCATCAACAACGATAGTAGAAGAAAATTGATTACAGTTGGTGGAAAATTTAAACGGCGGAAATTAGTTTACATCAATTTATTCTTCTACCGCACTACGAAGATGGGGACATTTTTCAGCGTGATGGTGGTTAGCACGTACAACAAAAAGATTTCTTGGGAATGGAGATGTTCTACTTTTGAAAGACCGGCCAGCACAGTCTTGATCTCAATATAATTGAATCATTGTGGTGGGAACTGAAGAAAAAAGTGCTCCAACAAAAGGTCACACAATGTGCAAAAATCATGGGGGGGGGGAATTCTCAATGAGAAAATTTGGACTTTGTTACATTCTATGTCACATCGAACTGAGGCAATTATTTGAACCCAAGGCAGCAACAGTAATTACCTCCATACTTTAATGTTTTTGTTTTCTTTAATAATAAAGATCATTTTTTTTTTTTTACACCACTCCTTTTTATAACATAAGAAAAAAAACTGAAAGGTAGGACTTTTGCTGGTGGCCCAGTATCTTTGCATGGCCTTTTTTTCCGCATCATGGAGTAATGGATAGCGGCTAGAATTAAAGAATAAGAGAGCCGAGTTCGAATCCCAGTCGAATCCATTACATTCACTTACGTGCTAATACCCTTGGAGAAGGTATGAATCTTCTTATTCTCCCCACCAGCTATAGGTAAATAGCAGGACAGACCGGGTTCTATAGCCTTGGATGGCGACTGGTCTACCGCAGAAAGAAATGGCAACCCACTGCGGGGAAAAATCTGCCTCGTCAGTCATGTATCGAAAGATATACGATCGCCTAAGCGTGTATCACGCATGGCACATAACTGACTGATGCTTAAGATATCATAGCCCATACAGCATTAACTAAAATGCTGTAACTTGTTTTCTGGTCCTCAAAGATCATAAAATGCTCTAAGCATACTGCTTATTACTCTCGATATGGGGGTAAAATTAAAAGTAATTAATTTTCCAAAATGATCCAAAAGTTTTTCACGCTAGTGTATATGAAATACCGGAAAACATTTTGAAAAACTCTAAAGTTTTGAGAGCTTAGATAAAATAAATGACTAGATTGTTACACCATTTGAAATGGAAACAGAAAATGCAGATACTGAATCTCACTTACCAGATGAACTCATTTGTATATATGTGAATCTCAAAGGTAAATCATTGCTCCAAAGTAAAAGCCTCAGTTTCTATTAGAGTAATGTATATACGACTACGAAATAATCCAAGCTGAATGCAGCAGTTGAGATATTTTTTACCTGCATTCTCAAGTTTGTATATGATTGAATTTGGTTTAAGTCCCGCAAATCTAATTCGAATTAAGGTGTCCGAAAAGTTTTACACTACAAGTTTTATCTGGTATACAACGAGGCCCAAACACCGCAATAATTATCTCTGAAACTAATTTGTTAACTCTCATCCAATAAAGAAGCGCATTCTTTAATAAATTTATATTTACCAGGTCTAAATGGATACAGAGCACAAAGCAACAAATGCGAGGCTGTTATTCAGTAAAAAAAATCTCTTCAAATGCACTTCAGTACTAAAAATAAATAGTTACTTTCAATATTCGAAACTATAGCTGTGAAGATCTTGATCACAGTAACCAAATGACATACAGAATCATCTTTCGGTCACTGCTTCAGTGACGTCTTTCGTCCACGTTCGCCTTAGGAGATACGAACATGTTCCAAATATAACATTGTCGTCTTTTCTGTTTAAATGTCTCGGATGAGGAGTTATTATTTACATAGTCGAACAAATCAGGACATTGCTTAGGAAAATAATTCTCGAATTAGATCAATAATGAAGAGGAAAACAATCCGAGTCTAAATACTGTAAATATTATAGTCTTGTTTGAATCTCTCATCCGTAACATAATTTTGTCCTTCCGAACTTCATCAATCAGCGTCGGACAGTGGGTGTTTGTGGATTTCGAATTTTCTTAAAACAATGAGCCATACATTTTTGAAGGAGTAAAATATATACACACACACACACACACACACACATATATATATATATATATATATATATATATATATATATATATATATATATATATATATATATTGTTATTATAACAAAAAAACATGTTGACCAGTTCGCACTCACTTTTCCATCTTAAGGTGCTGGAGTCGCTTTACATCAGGTCTAGGCAGCCTGCTCTTTGCAAACAGAGAGATTGTTTGCTTGGACTTGCTGTTCTGCGATCCTGACAGCGCAAAAGTATCACCATCTCCCAAATAATTCCGTCTATCCAACTGCACTTACAAGGTCAACCTGCGGTATCGTTTTTCGTGCCCTTCCCGAAGGTGACACACGCTGAAATAGAAAACCTGTCCTGCGAATGATCTCTAAGAATAATCTTTCGTCGAATTTTTTGCTTTTTATTAACTTTGGTCATCTGGTAAAACTGTTGTCTAACGTTACTGAAATTTTATTTCAGATTAGACAACCCTTTGAGAGGAAATGCCAAGTAGACAAGAATGAGCATATTTGACATATTTTCTTTTAATCAAGCTACAAAAGCAGCACGAGGCATTTGTGTTGTGTACAGAGATGACTTTTATTAACGGCAGAATTATATGAAATGCTTGAAACAGCCAATGCTAAGCTGTATGTTGAACAAATGAACACACTGGTCGGTGATACAGTGTGATTATTCAATATGACAATGCTCGCACACACGTCACTAACACCACCAAACATGCAATTAAAAAGCCTGAAAGAAAGAAAACTAAAGCGTTTGTTTCAATTAATTTGCACAAAGGTGTATGTAACAACTTAATATCTGCATATTATTCGATTGGTTGTTCTACTCAGAACTGTGTTGGTTGGAGTTGGTCGCTGGCGTATTTCTTTGGTGTTAGCTGAGCAACGGTCATTGTATTCATTTCTCTTTCCAGTTTAACAGTAAACTCATGGTATTAGATGGAGATAGAAATAAATAGATAACCAAATATATTTATGGCAGTAGTCAACAAAAACCTATTTTGTTTTCTTCCTTTGCAGATTATGCTTCCCTGTCTTTGGGTATTCTGGAAGGAGGTAGAACGACGCCATTTTGGAAGAAATCCCACTACCCTGGAAAAGGATGGAACCTTGCAATTGCAGATATCGGGAAAATTTCCAGACCATTCAAGGTAAGAACGGGAAGGGGCTTCCTTGAACTCCATTTCGAAGTAGGATTGAAACTTACCTGCGACGGATTATCTACCCCCTAGCCCTTGTTTCCTAGGCTGGGATTTAGAAAGTCTCTCGCTCTCTCTCTCTCACTCTCTCTCTCTCTCTCTCTCTCTCTCTCTCTCTCTCTCTCTCTCTCTCTCTCTCTCTCTCTCTCTCTCTCTCTCTCTCTCTCTCTCTCTCTCTCTCTGACCTTAGCACTTTAGTGTAAGGTTGTTAACCATAACTATATTTAGCCTTGTGGATTAATAAGTTGGGTCGTGAATTTGGTAGTATAGCATTCAATTTCTGCTCCGGGTAGTACAGAGTTAGACTCTAGCTAAAACTAAGCAGTACTAAATAAGAACAAGACGAGATATCCCTAAACATAGACAGTAGAATGAGAGCAATATAGATTAAAGGGTGCATTCAATTTAAAATTCTCTGAAGGTTACCCGGATCGAAAATTACCTGATGAAGGCCGGTCGGTACAACACTCGAAACATTAATAACGACGAAGACGGTAGTCAGTGTAAATAATGTAAATTATGATAACTCATCACATAAATTTAGGCAGGAACATTAATATCGTCCGTATTTTTGTTTTGTTTTTTGTTATTTTTAGTGGGGGGTGTTTTTTTTTTTGTTTTTTGAGGAAGGAAGTATCAATGCGATCGATATGTCAGAAAATTCGGAATCTAGAAAGGTAACCACGGCTTTCGAGATATTGATGGTCAGACAGTACGGCAATTAAATTTTTGAGATATAAAGACAACGAGGAAATCGTTATGCGATAAACCTAAACGTTAAATTGTTCCATTTTCCTATTTCAATAACTATTTTCTGCAACTACCTTTATTTTCTATGCACATTTTATCGTTGGCAATTCCTTGTTTTATAGTAAAGACCGAAAACTTATGTACTTATTACACATATATGCAATATTTAACCTTCGTGTCCACAAAAAAAAAACAGTGTGTCAAATGGATGGTTATTCCTTTGACACCACTATTACTGTATCCACTTTTGACTCCCTCAGCAATGTTTATTTACAAGATTATAAAACTTGTGAACCAAATACAGTACGATGTTTATTATTTAGCTTTTTATAAAGATTTATTATTTTCCATTTTATAAAGAAATTAATTTGAAAAGAAATATCTTCATTCAAAAATTTATAAACTATCAAAATATTGAACCAACTACAATGCAATATTTATTATGTACAATTATGAAAACAAGTTTTCTTATTCATAATTTTGTAAAACTATAACTATAAAATAAGAATTTGGCTAAATATATATTATGCATTTCACTTTTTAAGATTGCTGAGGGAGTCAAAAGAGTATACAGTAATAAGTGTCAACCGAAAAACCGTCCTTTTGATACTTTTTTTTTTTTTGTTTTGTTTTTTTTTTTTTTTCTTTTGTTTTTTTCTTTTGTTTTTTTCGGGAATAAATGTTAAACATTGCTACTATTACTTTGTCGGTGTACACGGCGAGAAACCTCAGTCTTTCATCGATTTGAATGCTACTGATAGTACATCTGTTCACCAGACATTTTCAATCTTTTAGGCCCGCCTTCAAAATAAACACATAAAATGTTTGATTGTTTTTTAACACAAATTTTCTCCTAACTTGCTAAATACTGCAATTTTCAATAAGGCGCCAAAATTTAAACATTTCAAAAACAGCATAAAGGGAATAATCCTCCAAAGTGATAAGTTTATTGTTTTTGAAGTATTTTTTTCGCTTAAATCTTTTAAAATAATTTCACCCCAAATAAGGCGATAATGCCACTAAGACGCAAGAGAAGGGGGCTCTGAATAAAAGCAAAAAAGAAAACTTTGCTGACGAGAAAGGACAATAAAAATATCATTCAAGGCTACAGATCGTAAAAATTGTGGTTGAAATTAAATTCTTGTAGATTGTAGTTGACAGGAAAGTGGCTTCCACAAGCGAGAAGTGCGAGAGAAAACACCTGTCTTCTTATAGATGTTGCAGCCTCAACCGGCAAAAAGCATTGTTGAAAATGTCGAAATATTTTCTATACTTTTCTTTATATATACGTCTTACCAGTTTGTGACTGGAAAGCATAATTCCGAGGAGGATATAAATCCAGAGAGAGCTCAATGTAGATTACAGAGCATTATAATAAGAAAACGGAGACTTTAATTATCTGTTTCAATTATAATTTATTTCGTGAACACCGAGTTGTTCAAATCTTCAGACCGAAATCTCCGTAAATATATATATATATATATATATATATATATATATATATATATATATATATATATAAATAAAAAAAAAACATAGGAAACGTATATCAATTTAACATGTTTCAATTTTATTTAGATGCGAAAACAGACAAAAAGACAGTAACTGGTATTTTCAATTTTGTCTTGGAGGTGGTGGTAATGATTGTTGGAGGACAGGAATATGAATTTTGTGTAATTTTTATGAGGAGGGTTATTTTTTATTTTCTTTTTTTACTTTGAGGATTTTGTAATGTTGTTTAACGTTAAGGATAAAATGATGTATGTAGTGGAGAATATGAAAATTTTCTCAATATATTTCTTTTCTTCATTTAGGTATTCCAGGCTACATATCCTAAAGGCTCCGACGTAGAATCCCATGATTAGTCCAGATTCTTTGGTTGTGGCGGGAATAGAAGTTGATTATATCGTTTTCGTTTCTGTGTTTACGATAAAATTTAAAATCTAATTTCTCATTGTATTAATAAGATGTCGAGGTAGAGAATTGATTATTTCAAATTCGTGTGTGAATTCAATGGTAGGGTCAACCTTATTGAGTTTCGTGATTATGTCTAATAAGTTTGTACCTTGTGGATATAGAAAACAATCAATGTATCTTCGGTAAGTAGAGCTATTTAGCATGATGTGTTTAAATGGACCAGATTCTAAGAATTCTAGAAAAAGGCAGGTGAGAACAGCACTGAGAGGTGACCTCATTGGTAAGCCGAATCTTTTTACCTAAAGAATATTGTTGAAAGAGAAGGAGCAGTGGTTATTGATCAATTTGCATATTCCCACAAATAAGCTAGAGCCCTTGCAAAAGTCCTAACTCCGTTTCTAGGAACCATCACAACAACACATATCAAACACTCTCCAGAGAATACGAAACGTAAATATGGAAATCATGGTTATGGCGAACTTAGGCATCAAATCATTGTACACCAACATACCCATCTCAAAATGACTCAACATATTGAGAAACCACCTCAAAAAGTCCAAAGAGAAGCTTCCACTACCCGTCCACAAAATGATAAAAATATGCAAACCAATCACTAACCACTGGTTCTCTTTCAACAATATTCTGTACAAGCAAAAATTCGGCTCGTTACCACCACCTCCAAGACAACAGGATATCTTTATTAGAAAGTCAAATAAACCCAACACTAATTTAAATTGCGAGATTAATCAAATAAATTGTTTACAATGCAAAAATGTTTATGCGGGGAAGACATCACGTAATCTAAAAGCCCGCATCTACGAACACTAGAGAGCGTTGCGTTTGGACAAACGATCTAACTCGTTTTGCATCGAAATAATGCTGGACATAACTTTGATTTCACTTATAACTTTGATTTCACCCTAATTAAAAAATAATATAATTCTTTAAGCAGAGAATACGTTAAAAACTTAATAATATTATTACCAACTATAAACACACGCCTAAAACATTACATTACATCGCCATCTTACTTTGAATTCATTCTTAAAGAATCTGTATAATACAAAGAATACATGCTTAAAGAGATCAGCCATAAATTAGAATGATGTGACACCCACTGAGCTGGCTCACGGCATAAAGGTGAAGACATTAGAACTCTCACTAGACAGACACATATACACAATTACGAAAACACTTTACCATCTGATTCCCACTTAGACATACACAAATCTTTGCAAACTTGCATACATACAGGATTATCTACGGTTTTAATGCACGTGACACGTGTCGGACCAATGAGAACTGACCCAAACAAAATGGAAAATACCAGTTTCTGGTTTTTGTCTGTTTTCTCTCAATCTCTGACGAAGGTTAAATAAAAGTGTAACGTGTTAGAATGATAAAAGAAGGAAGGAATAGGAAACGTGTATCAATATGTCATATTCCGATCCATATTTGATCTGCATTTGATTTTTAACTCTTTTGATATATCATGAAAACTCCCTTCGTTAGTTGGGTGAAGTGATAGAACACCCCAAAGAAGACAAAGTGAAGTTGTCTCCTCACTACAACTACGACACACTGCGTGATATACACCCTCACAGAGTCAGGGGAGTAGTGAGAGGGTGTATAAAAGAAAGAAGTTACCAACTCGAAAATACGAGTACTTAAATATTTGGGGGTACAAATACCTCATGTGACTAGCGTGCGGTTAAAGCCTTTTCCTATTCAAACATTAACTCTATTTTTTATCATATACAAAAGCCACGCATTGTCAGATCTTGTCTGATGCTGAATCCATTTATCGTTTCTAGACATGCAATGTTTGTCCCCTTATTCCTCTCCCAGTCCTTATTCTGGTATCCATTTACACAAGATCCTTACATATTGTTTCATTCTACCCTTTTGACTTTAATATGTCTTGTGAGCGTTAAATTCTCCAAACCCTCTTTCCTCATAAGGCGTCCTCAAAATTGCAAGTCTTTAAACCAAATCTTTTTTTTTTACAGTTTCAATTCATTGCCAAGAGCTTCTACAGTAGCAAGGTAGATATTGCAATCGACGATGTTGAACTACAAAACTGCAATTTCCCAGGTAAGAAATAAAACCAATACATGTTCAATTACGTATATTTTGCTATTATTTTAACACGTTTTGCGTGTAGGTTGAATATTCTCCGCTCCTACAGAGGTAAAAAGTTTTATTGTCTTTACTTTAGTTAATAATCCTGTCTGATGTTCTCTGTTAGATATCACGAAATCACGCAATTTTTTTCCATGAATATTGACAAACGTTAACTTCCAAGTGGTGCTACCAGATCATTGGAATATTTTTTTGTCTGGGTTATTTCGAAGAATAGAGATACGAAGCTTTATAGCCGGCTTCTTTCTCGATTAGGGTGTATTTTTCTTTCACTCCTTGCCTTGTCTCTTCTTTCGCTTTTATAGTTTAATCACACCTGAATAATGACAATGATACATTAGTGGGTGTAGCTAGTGTAATAAACAGCGTCTGGAT